CTCTACTTTCTATTCATCTAACATGCTCTGGAACAATTATTTGAGCTGCGTCACGACAAAACCAACATAGTGCGTTTGTGACCAGCATGGATCCAGACCAGCCTGCGCATCTGCGCAGTCTGATCAGGATCCATGCTGTTTGCTATCAGTTTCTCTACTTGTTATAGATTTTGGTAAGCGAACAGCATGGATCCTGATCAGACTGCACGGATGCAGCTCATTTAAACATTATGAAACTCATGTTTGCCCTTTCTAGAGAAGGGAAAATCAATTTATTTCTGAGTCATACTGTGCCTTTAAACAAAGATTCCATTTTAAAGATCATTAGCAAATATATTATCATGTACTCGTAAAGTGAAGTATATTATGTAATATATCTGATTAGTATACAATACATATACAAAGAAGTCATTCATGTAATATTGTACCTTATCAGATTAAGTGCACTGCAGTTCTTGAGGGGAGGGGGCGGGCGGTTATTGGTCCAAAACAAGCAAAATTCAAATATCACATTTTCTGGCATAGTTTGATTTAAGGTGGCAGAAAATTTAAAGATTCATTCACCTCTTAAGGTGCAGACAAAAGAAGGAAGCAAACATGTCAACATCAGAAAGTTTTAAGAAATTAAAATTAATAATTTAATCTTAAATACCAGTTTCGAAGGGTTGCATGCAGTTCTTTGTTGTAAAATGCAAATTTATTTCACAACACAAAATTTGTCACCTTAGTGTACCAACTGGTTAACTCCTATCACCTTCGTGCACCAACTGGTTAACTCCTATAAGATCTAGGAGGACTTAACCCATTACTGCACTAACATGACAAAATCAAAATCTACATAACTCAATTTACAATTTCAACAATACACCATCTATTGGACAGATTTATCTCCCCTATTCTTACATTTCTGATAGTCAAATTTCAAAACAGTTATTGAAAAGATCCCAATCAAAATTACAGTTGTCACACATCCAAATATATACCTGCGTATAATGACAAGATAAATTAATTAACGACAGACTTTTGTCAAATGCATTGTGCAAAATTATGTAAGATGACTGTTAAAGATAATAAAAATTATGCATAAAAAAGATCACAATTTTCATCAAATCAACATGTTCTATCTTGAGATAAACCACACAGCTTTGTTTAGTTTTAAAATGTACGTCACTCTGGCACAACTAACTTAATCTGGTCACAATAATGTGATGATCTAATTTTAAGTTGGAGGTCTGCCTTATTTATATGGCATTGGCAATCTTGGCAAAGTTATAGTACTAAACAGATTTTTTAAGAAGGTAATTTAACTTTTTTCTGACTGCAAACTGTAATACCTACTTAATACTTCTAAGTCAGTCAGTGAAAAAAATCCATGCTAGAGTAAATCAATGATTTTTAAAGTAGCTAAGTTTCAAAATGAATACTTTCAGTGGCAGACCTTAAATGCAAAACTGTGACCAAGTATTTTCTAAGTATATAAAGGGGAATAATTCAGCAAAAAATTATAAAGAGGAATAATTCAGTAAAAATTCATGCCAGAGTAGTGGGTCTTGGCAAATAATTTAAAATTGATTGCAAAAATTGATTTTTCAAAAATAAATACATGTACTTTCTATATTAATTGTTCTGGAGAACCTTTAAAAGCACTGGCAAAAGCTTAAATTAATCATGACATCTAAAATTGCAAGCAAAAGATATAACAATGGCAATAACACCGACAGAACTTTCAACACCACAGGTGAGCAAGATAACCTTTAATAGTATTTATAACAACAAGCTTAATCTATAACCTAGAAATATACAAAGAGAAAAATAATATGTCTTTCAACCACAGACAAGTGGTTCAGCCTTTGTCTTCAGACAACATTTTCTTTTCCTTGGAGATTGTAGTTACAGTAATAAACAAAGCTCATCCACCCCCAGCATTCCAAACATCTTTCTGACACACATAGATATGATGTATGAAATCCTTATCAATATAGAATTGAGCCGCGCCATGACAAAACCAACATAATGGGTTTGCGACCAGCATGGATCCAGACCAGCCTGCGCATCCGCACAGTCTGATCAGGATCCGTGCTGTTCCCTATCAGTTTCTCTTCTTGTTATAGAGTTTGTGAGCAAACAGCATGGATCCTGATCAGACTGTGTGGATGCGCAGGCTGGTCTGGATCCATGCTGGTCGCAATCCCATAATGTTGGTTTTGTCATGGCGTGGCTCAATTGTCAGTTTCTCTCAGGCCAATTAAAAAACAAGAGGGCCATGATGGCCCTGAGTCGCTCACCAGAAACAACTGTTTTTTTTTCAGTGTTATTTTTCAAAGAACTTGCTGAAAGACCATTCCAGCTCAACTTTTACTTGCCCTTCTAATTTAAATTATTGAAATATTTTGCCCTAATATTTTGGAGGCTTTGTTAGAAATATCTATGTTGCAAGTGTGTTCCCATAAGACTATGTAGAATAAAATAATGCAGAATAAACAGGACTAGGATTTCATGATATTTACGGACAGTCTGTAAATTTTTGGACGAGCCATAATTTTACAGATTTTTGTATCTGTAAATATACTGACATTAAGTAAGAAAATAGTAGAAGCTGCATTAAAATTCTAAACCACAGGTTAAAATTAATAAGGTTACATACTATATGATTAAATGTAACAGTATGGTGAGATTCAAAACAATACGATGACTTTCAATTTTCACTTTTATTAAATATTTCAAAATCATCATACAAAGATGGAACTCACCACATCACCTTTGTAAATATAAACAATCAATAAAAAAAACTAGTCAGAAGCTGCGGATTTTAGTGTAAAATTAAAAACAGCGAATTTCACATTTAATATAGATTTGTAAATTTATGGATTGAAAAATCTTTAAATTTCTAGACTATCCCTGGGATATAAGATAATGTCCCAGACTATCTATAAATTTACGGACAGTCCATAAATATCATGAAATACTAGACCTGATAAATGACCACTACAGCAGGGTTAATTTTGATAGAACATTTTTTCTTGATAACTTTGTAAATGAATACAAAAAATGTCACATGCAAAATATGTAAGGTGTTTACAGTATGGGACAACAAACTTTTCATTTGAGGGCAAATATGTGCCCAATCGGTAAAATTAGGGTATGACTAAATACCGAATATGAATTCATATTCGCGAATATAAAGAGAGTACCAAATATGAATATTACTTTCATAAAATTTTGGCATAGGGTCAAATATGATACCATATTGAATATTTGTTACTTGAAAAATTAAAGCATAATAGTATATTTTATAAGCGTTGTTTTATATGCATGTATATAGAGTGGGTGGACCAACGTTCGGCGTAAAAATACTATATTTGATATGGCAAATTCAAATCTACGTCAACAAACCTCAATGTTTTATGTCCATTTTTCAAGACTGATGATATTGTTTTAAATAGCCATTGTGTAAAAACTAAAATTCGCTAATCACATAATGATGTGCATGGCTTGAGCTATAGATACTGATAGTCCGGATAAACAAGAGTGGTTTGCGTGAAATTGTACCATAGCTCGGCGGACAAATCTACATAATGCAGGATTGTTTTTCGAATAAAATCTCATTTTTATCTTACAAGAAAACATATTGAATAAATTGTAACAACCAAATTAGGTTCATACATTTACAAGTACCCAACTTTTAGTTGAAATTTAATAACCCCAGAACTCTAGTGTTAAAAAAAATTAATAATTTATATGTTGGGGATTACATACGGTTGTTCGTCTGCTATTAGCATTGTCACGTGACTTTACCAGCAGTGAACTACACCAGGATAAAATGGTGAAAGATGTAAATAAAAGCACCAGTCGGCAGTGACCTCAATCGGAGATAACTTGAGACATTTTCAAATATTCTAAAAAAAAAAATTTTTACGCCGAGCATTGGTATGCGCGGAGCATTGGTCCAACCACTCTAGTATCAAATTAATGTTCATATTTTGTATTCATGTCATTCTGGTATATTTCTGGTCACAATAATTTGCAAACAATGCATTAAATTCATTTAATTTCATTCAATGACATGATGCAAGTATATAATATTAGTCTTTGTTTACGAAACAATTTCAGACAAAGTTCATTTATATCTATTTAATATTCATATTCGGTATCCTCGTTCTTACCGGTAAAATTATGGAGCTTTGGTAGCGTCTATCAAGCGTAACAGACTAGTTCGGAACTTCCGATTTTCAGTCAACTCTCATGACCAGTACCATACGGTACTAAAGTACTCTAAAGTTTGTGCATCCCGATGTGAATGATTTGTTTATTTCAGTAATACAAACTGTGCAAGTAATTTTAATAACCAAAAATTCCTTACATGCCTTACGAAAAAAATATCATTTTGCTTGGATTTCTCTGTTGTTCCAGCATTCGCCGATTGATTTGGTTTGGAAACCTCATTTGGTATAGGCGCAGAGTTGTTTACGGTAAATTCTGTCGCTCCATCAACGTTAACATTGTTGTAGTGATTACAGGTCTAGGCCATTTCCAACAGCCTTGCTGTTGGGTTAACCCTTCAGCGACGTGGTTGAGTGTCCGCCTTGTAATTGAGAGGTCCGGAGTTCAAAACCCGGTCACCACCTGAGGATTTTTCAGGTTTACAATAATGGCGACGAGGTAAAACAATAATGACAATGCATAGAGTGTTTCAATTGACTAGCAATCAATTATAGATCTATAGAAAGACGGGACTGTGCATCTAGCATGTAACTGTCTCCTACAGGGAACTTTATAGGTAAACATTAAGCATAAGGTATTCACGACGGTTTTCGCGGGACTGAAAAAGTACCCGGATAGTTCTAGGAATGAGTGAATTGAGTTCTGCGTTGGCTGGCGAAGTGCGAACATCAAGAACAAGCTTTGGTAAGCTCCCGGCCTGTTTTCCCTTCTTTAGGCTATGATTTAAGGAAATACAACATTGGCGACGAGGATTAAAACTGGATAGCAGGGCAGTGACTTTTGCATGTCATAAACGTCGTTCATTTGTAGTCAATTTTCGCGACATTCTGGACCGTTGCATAAATTGGAAAATTGACTTTGACATTCAGTTGACATTGTGAAATAACCACTCGACGATAGCCTAAAGGGTTGATGTACTAGTATTTTTTTGATTTTGTGGCTTCTAGCTTTTATTTAAAAAATACTTGGTCAACATAAAGTTTGGGAAACTGCAGAATGGTATGCTTTTTATAAATAAATAATTCCACTCTAAATTCATAGTAAAGCACGCCCAGTATTGTCTTTTTATTTACTTTAGCCCTTTTCAGAAACGACTTTGAAGATATTAGAGACAGTGACAGCATAAAGACAGCGTGAAAGGTATACAAGTTATCTACCTTGAATATCTTATTTCAGTTGTTTACAAGTGTACCAGGATCACCAAATAAATTATTTCTTGTATTCTATATCAGAAATAATTGCGGATAATTAATTTATTGTACATTTTTTTCAGAAATATTTTACAGAATTTCACATAAATTTTTGATTTAAATCTTGAATGTGAAGTAAAATAAATTAAAGCAGCTGTGACAAAGTAAAGTCTGTATTATTTAAAGGAGCTGTCTCAAGTATTCAGTAAAAACATTTGATTTAAAGAACCTGTCTCATATAAGTCGATTAAATTTTTTAAAGTAACTTTTTAATTAATATTCGGTGTATTCTATACTCGAATAAGTGGAATTTATTTTTAAAGCTACTTTCACATATATATTCGGTGTATTCTATACTCGAATAAATAAACTTGTATTAATTTTCAATTGTACTCTATACATTGAAAATTTGTGATTACATTGTGTCCGCAATGCATTGACTGACTTAAGTTATCATCATGTCAACATTTAATGTAAACACAATGACTAAAGAGGAGTTGATGAAATTGCCAGCTATTGGTGCGAAAAGGGCAACAAGTATAGTCCAGTTTCGACAAATGCATGGCAAGTTGACGAAAGATGATTTCATCACCATAATGGCAGGTCATCTTAACCCAGATATGTTGAAATACATTGATTTTTCAACACCAGTCAACTCCGAGTACAATATCTTCAAGTGGGGGGGGGGGAGTGTTGCTGTGACATTTACCACAAGTACCACGCCTGTTGCAGTAGTTTGCAAGCCCATTCATGTTGGTAGCAGTGCTACAACAACAATTACAGTAAGTAGTACAACTACGCCTACTGTAACTAAAGGATCTAGACTTGCAGCTGGATTTACCTTGCGAACGCCAGTTACTAAAGCAGTTTCGAAGGTAATGACTACATCAACTACAACCAGCAGCGTGAAAACCAAGGTAATTACAGTTCCGGTTACCAAAATAACAACTGCTGTGACGGTTGCAGCTAGTAGCACATACATTACAGTGAGTGCAACCGGTGCAACACCAATTATGTCAGCCCCTACGTCTTTAACAATACCGGAGATGGAGGCATCCCGAGGTACGCCACACATTGAAGATGTTTTGACTCAACTTCTTACCTTAAGTCAGGGTATGACTAAAAGAGATTTAATAGACTTGATATCTGCATTACCAGAAGCAAATGCAAGTGATACGGATGAAGATTCTACTGCAATAGATACACCTTGTACTTATAGTACAGGTTATATGCACTATCAAATGGATCCTTGCAATACAGGTATACTTGGTTCTTCTAGAACAAGGTTTACAAGTACGGTAGATGATGTCAAGCCTAAATATTTCAGTAACAGTGCATCCAGGTCATACAACACTAAATTGGACACAGGGTATGGCAACCCTAAATGTATATCTCCTAAGAAAGAATATACATCTGCTACTTATGTATATGGAGATACACAACAACAGTCGAGGTCAACTAAAGGGTCTTCTAGACATTTAGATAGATATGAATGCCAGAAGAAAAATTCAAGAAGAGACCATCGAAGTTACCATACCAGATCAGAAAAGTCAAGTGAAAGTAGCGGTAATAGTAGAAGCAGATCAATCGGTAGAAAAGATGTTCAGTCCAGATACAGTAGTGATGGTAGAAAGAATCGGGACAAGATTGGTTACAGCAATCGGTCTTCTTCTAGAAACCGTTTGTCAAGAGATGACAAGTACAGTCGTAGATCACGGTCGTCTTCTAGACACCAAAGATCAAAATCCAGAAGTCCGAGCTTTTCAAGGTCAAGATCATACAGATATAGGAATAAATCTTCAAGCAGTAGCAGTAGCACGAGATCTCGATCAAGAGGCTATGGTCATTCAGGGTCAAGACGTCATAAGTACGGGTCCCATGATAAGTATTGCAAGCCATCTAGACGACATGACAGAAGTCGCTCTTCCAGTTATTCTGATCGAAGCAAGTCAGAAAAGAGGGGTAACCCGAAGGAACTTCCAAGTATTTTGCGGTATGATGGGAAGACAAGCTGGTTATCTTTTAAAGAACAATTTGAAAGTTATCGAGCTGTTTCGAACTGGACTGACAGTGAAAGTAAAGATTACCTTACTTGGAGTCTTCAAGGTAAAGCGTTAGATTTCTTCACAATAACAAATAAAGCAGGGCATTGCTATTCATATAAGCAAATGATGAAGAAATTAGAGACCAGATTCGGCGACCAGGAACTTACCGAGACGTCACGTGTTAAGTTCCAGCAGGCTAGACAAGCATCAGATGAATCTTTAGATGATTGGGCAGATCGAGTGCTGACACTTTCGACATACGCATTTAAGGATCTATCCGAAGAATACAGAATGCGAGAGGCAATTTCGAAGTTCTGCCAAGGATGTATTGATAGAGAAGCAGGAAAGCATGCATGTTTCGAACATCCTAGGAGTATACAGGCTGCACTTAACGCTGTGAAGCATCACCAGTATATCTCTGAGGCAGTTGATGGCAAAAAGCATTCTAGAAGATCTAAAGATGATGTTTCAATTAATGCAGTAAATACATCAACTGAAGCCAGGGTGGAACAATTGCTGAACAAAGCTATGGAACAGCTTAGCAGTAAAATTCAGCAATTGACTACAACCAATAAAGAAACTGAATCTAGGACAGGAAGAGGGCTATCATGTTTCTTTTGCAAACAAAGGGACCACATTAAGAAAGACTGTCCAGGATTTAAAGAATGGTTGAAGAAAAAGGGGCTATCTAACACTACGGAACAACAACGAAATCCAGCAAATCGTGATTTAAACAAGAAAAGGCTGAATGGAATGGCCAACCGTTCAAGCCCGCAGAAGTAACTGGTCAAAATGGTAAAGATTCTGCGACTTCTAGTCCGGAAGCTGATGTCATCTGTGAAGAACAACCAGTTACAGATCACGAAGATGTTATTAGCCTTCGTAAAGGTGACAAGACTTCTAGTCAAAGTCATCAAAAATCATCTCAACACCCTAAAGTTACTGCAACAATTAAATCTGATGAAAAAGACCATACAGATGGCATGACTTCTAGTCATGTTAATGAAAGTGAAGATATTTTGAAAGATGGTAATACAGTCAAATTAAATTTAGGTATCCAAGAAACACAGAATGACGGAATTGTCAGCGTTCATCAAGTGCGAGCTGGTTCTTCTTTTGTGTTACTGACAGTCGGTGATCAAGAAGTCAAAGCAAGAATTGACTCTGGTGCTGAAATTACCATTCTCTCTTCAAAAGTCTTCGCTACCTTGAGCAAAAAGCCTGCAAAAGAAAAATATGTAGTTATGCAAATGGCAGATCAAGAAGCAGTACTAAAAGGCTTTATCACTAAACCATTAAGATTGCAACTCGGATCTCAAGTATTTCATGAAAGAGTTTATGTTGCACCTATTAGTGATGAAATGCTGCTTGGACATGATATAATGCATCATTTAGGAGTTATGATGGATATGCATTCAGACACTTTAATTGTGAATGGTGAGCAGATTCCCATGAATACAAGCTTTAGAGAGGGAAAGCTGACTATTGCAAGAGTTTCAGTGGCAAAACGTACTGTGGTTCCGCCAAATTCAGTTGTTCGTATGTCATGCAGTCTCAACACACATCTGAGTGACTATTTTATAGAACCAGATGAAAAGTTGAATACAGTTGGTATATTGATGCCAAGGACATTGATGTCTTCAGATACGGAGCCAATTGTTTGTTTAGTCAATCCTACTGACTTTTACAAGACATTCAAGAAGGGTAAAGTGATTGCAAATGCATATGAAGTAGACAATATCCTAGATGAGCAAAGCGAAGTTGCTACATCTCTGCCTAAAGAAAATGAAGTGACTTCTAGTCATTCTAAAACTACATCGTCTAAATCTCGAAGGATTTCTAGTTCTACGAGATTAAGAGTTAGAACAGTCGCCGAACAGTTGTGTGAATCATTAGAGACTCCAACAGAAGTAGTTCCAGAGCATCTGCTAAAGTTGTATCAAGCTTCTACTGAACATCTTAATCAAGGGCAAAGTAAGAAGTTAGCTAAACTCCTTAGCGATTATGAAGATGTTTTCGCTAAGAGTGATTTCGATTTGGGAAGCTTTACTACAATAGAGCATACCATAGACACCGATGATGCAAAACCCATAAAACAACGCATGAGGCGCACACCAGCTTGTTTTGTTGGGGAGGAAGAAGAGCATCTGAAGAAAATGGTGGATGCCGGTGTCATACAGGAGTCTGTATCAGAATGGGCGTCCTCTCCAGTTCTGATCAGAAAGCGTGACGGATCTGTAAGATGGTGTATAGATTACAGAGCCCTTAATGATGTCACGGTTAAAGATACTTTCCCATTACCATTGGTCGAAGATTGCTTAGATACATTGTCGGGAAGCATCTGGTTTTCTAAATTAGATGCAAACTCAGCGTATTGGCAAGTCAAGATAAGTGAAGAAGACCGAAAGAAAACAGCGTTTCTAACAAAATACGGTTTGTTTGAGCATGTTAGAATGGGGTTTGGTCTGACCAATGCACCAGCCACATTTTCCAGAGTGATGAATCTGATATTGCGTGGATTAACTTGGAAAACGGTACTGGCATTCTTAGACGATATATTGGTGCTGGGAAGGAATTTTGAGGACCATCTGGGAAATATAGCCGAAGCCCTAGAAAGATTCCGCACACATGGTTTGAAGCTAAAGCCAAGAAAATGTGTTTTCTTCCAAAAAGAAGTAGAATTCCTTGGAAGAACAGTTAGTGGGAATAAAATGGCCATGACTTCTCGAGATATAGAAACAGTAGCCAACTGGCCATGTCCAAAGTCATCCAAAGATGTCGAAAGGTTTTTAGGCTTAGCAAATTACCATCGTACATTTGTCAAGAACTTTGCGGATATAGCACTGCCGTTATACAAACTAACAGGAAAGAATGAATTTCATTGGGGCGATAAAGAACAAGAAGCATTCAATACTTTAAAGGTAGCTTTAACATCACCACCAGTTTTAGCTTTACCAAATCAAGAAGATTCTTTTATATTAGATTCGGATGCTTCGGATTCGGCTATAGGTGCAGAATTTCTTCAGGTTCAAGATGGAGAAGAGAAAGTCATTGCTTATAGCAGCTTTTCATTGACTCCAGAACAAAAGAACTATTGCACCACCAGAAAAGAACTTTTGGGCATTGTGAGGTTCACGAGGCAGTTTAGGCATTACCTTTTAGGAAAAGTCTTCACTGTGAGAACTGATCACTCCAGTTTGACCTGGTTATTAAGATTTAAGGAACCACAGGGTCAGCTGGCTCGATGGATAGAGGAATTTTCACAGTACAACATGATTGTTAAACATCGAGCTGGATCGAAACACGGCAACGCGGACGCGCTGTCAAGAATTCCGGAAATTTTGACACCGTGTAAATCGTATATAGCTGGCATGAAGCTTGCAGATTTGCCATGTGGTGGATGTCCTTACTGCATTAGGGCTGACGAGCAATGGGCCAGATTTATTGATGATGTCGACGACTCAGTAAGATTGGCTCAGCAGGGTATAACGACATCCAATTCAGTGAACGTTCATATGGGGGCAACTGCAGAACTGTGCGGGTCAAGTCTTGAAGATGTAGCAAGTATTAGGATCCAGGTTCATGATGAATCTGACTTGAGTACATCATGCAGAACAAGAGATGCCCAAAACTTCAAACAAATAACTTCAGTAAAAAGGCAGTGATATGATGAAGAAAACAGTACAGATCTTCTAGATCGTACTGAAACAAATACAGATAGCATCGGTTTTCTATACCATGCTGATACCGGAGAAGAATGGAGTCTTATTGATTGCGTGCTCACGGCAGATGTCACAAGTTTAGGCGGAAGTGATTCTCATTTCGATATAGTAACGTCAGGCATCGGAGAGGGAAGGCAAAATTTCATTAGTCTTTGTCCAGTAATGTCTATGGATGAAGATAGTTCAAGTCTTCCTTCTTGCTGGGGATTCACTTTCGAGGATCTACAGAAATAGCAATCCAAAGATAAAGATTTTCATTTCATAATTGACTGGTTGAAAGACAAGAAAGTACCAGATGAAGGAATTCTATTCCTCTCTAGTCCAGAATCCAAATTCTATTGGCTTAATAAAGAGCTATTCCATTTGGTTGATGGTGTTCTTTTTAAAAACAATTCAGATGCTGAAGATCTACAGTTAGTTATACCTGATAGTTTAAAGGAACAGGCATTACTTTGGCATCATGACATTCCTTCAGCAGGACATCAGGGAGTAGCTAGAACAAAAGCTAAACTAAAGGAGAAATTCTTTTGGGTTCGTCTTTCAAGAGATGTTGAATCTTATGTGTCATCTTGTGCTGTTTGCAATCAAAATAAGAAGAAAAAGCGATATGGTAAGGTACCACTTACTGAATATCAAGCAGGGGCACCTATGGAACGTGTGCATATAGATTTTCTCGGACCTTTGCCTAAAACGTCGAGGGGTAACCAATATTGCATGATGATGGTTGACCAGTTTACAAAGTGGGTAGAATGTGTACCACTACCATCCCAGAAAGCGGAAGTGACTGCAAAAGCTACCATTGATGACTTCTTTAGTTGCTTTGGTTTCCCATTCCAGATATTTACAGATCAGGGAAGAAACTTTGAAAGTCAATTATTTGAAGCTCTTTGCAAGGCTCTTCATATACATAAAGCAAGAACAACGCCATATCGGCCATCCAGTAATGGTCAAGTGGAAAGATTTAACAGAACGTTGCTCGATGCTGTTAGATGTTTCATTGGCAAGTCTCAAGATAGTTGGGATCAAAACATTCAGCAGATAGCGATGGCGATCAGAGCTTCCGTAAACCGCAGTACTGGATTCACACCAAACATGTTAATGTTGGGAAGGGAAGTTAATACACCAGCACAACTGATGTTTCCCAATGCAAAAGCTGAAGCCCCAGAAGAGTATGGTGAATATATATCAAATCTTTTGCAAACCATACAAAAAGCACACATAACAGCGAGAAATACTCTTAAGACATCTCTGAAGCGTATGAAGCGTGATTATGACCTAAGAGTATTGTACAGACCATATTCAGAGGGAGATGTTGTCTATCTTCTAGATACAGCATCTACTAAAGGTAAATCTCGCAAGTTATGCCCTCCATGGAAATGTCCAGCCATAATAACAAAGAAGCTGTCAGCAATATTGTATCGGGTGAAATTGCGTAATGCTATATTCGTCACCAACCATGATCGGATGATGCCATGTAGAGATCGAACATTGCCATCATGGATAAAAAAATACAAGGATACGCCTGAATCCGACGCTGACGAGCCAAATACTGAAGATAATGAAGTATACTGCATCTGCAGGAAGCCATGGAACGGAAGATTCATGATACAATGTGAATATTGTGATGAGTGGTTTCATGGATCATGCGTCAACATCACCTCTACAGATGCCCTTGACATTGACCGATATAAATGCCGATCATGTTAGGACAATAACGTTAGACTGAGATGAGGGTGAACGTTGTAACTTTGTTATTCTTTTTGTATTTTTCAGTTATGGCACAGAAAATGAATACAGAGAATTTTGAGGTTATCGCTCTGAAATACCTGGAGCAAGGACGCATATACACACCAGCCAGGGAATTTATTAATAAGATTAGTTTGAGATTCCCTGGCGTTCAAGATACTGAAAAACGTCAGAAACTGATATTGGATATGGTTAATCTGGTGAAGACCAGATTAGCAACATATAGAAACAAGAAAACCTGGAGAGCTTGGTTACAGGAAGCAGCAATCCAGTTGGACTCAGCTCAAATAGCCCACAGGGATTGGATCTCCAGCAATATCTGGATTCTAAAGGATAAGCCAGTAAGGAAGCCAGATCCTCCAAGTCCAAGGGAGGATGATATTTCGGATGATATCTTGGCATTGTCGGCTGGAGAGGAAGAAGTGGCGGCTCTTCTAGAGTCCCCTTCTAGTTCACCGAAGGTACCGATGGAAGTGTCGATTCTTCTAGAGTCCCCTTCTAAGGTGTCCGTGGAAATTGATCCAGATATTGTTGTGAGCAGTCCTAGAAGATCACCAAGGAAGGCCATAAAAAAGAGTCTTATTCAGGAACCTTCTAGGAATACAGGAAATCCAAAACCCATGGTTAGAGCTGAATCCTCAGGGAGACGGGAGAAACGGGCTTCTAGTCCGTCTTCCAGGCATGCTTCACATCAAGAGCGTAAGAAGGCGAAACTTCCTGTGGCTTCTAGTTCAGAAGTTCCTCATTCGCAACCCGCACAACCTACCAGATTGTCTGTTACTTTCGGACGAACGGGTGGAGATCGTAGTGTCGCTATGGGGAGGGGTATGACCATAGATTACCCCAAACCATTTCATCCTGAAAGGCGTGCGGCTCCTCCACCTGCTTCAAGCTGGAAGAAGCAGAGGACAGAAGATACATTGCTCAAAGTCAGGAAAGCGATAGAAGAGAAAAGATCTACAGGGAAAAGGCGGTCTAACAAAAGGATGAACGTTAAATGCTGGGTGCCAAACTGTTTGGAACCGGCCCAGTATATGAAGGTTCATGCCTTCAAGCATCATGTCCCTGGGATTTTCGATGAAAGGCTACAACATGTATACAATCATTTATAATCCATATGTGTAACGCATGATCAACACCATACTTGTGTAATTGTCCCTTATTATGTTATCGCTATTAGCGAGGACCCCCTCTTAAGGTATCTGTTCACACTAAGTAACAATATGACACTTGTTATATTACCATGTTGATCATGTTGAGCATAATTGTTTATTATACAATAAATGTAATTTCTATTTTAATAAAAAAAAATACAGATTTTATGAATATTGTTTTCTTTTCGTTTTTTGTGTGTGTTTTATGCGCTATTTTAATACTGAGTTTTTACGTTTACTACTATATTAAGAATTCAATAGGGAACGATCTGAGATAAGCATCGTATACGTCACTGATAAGAGACCTGTTCTAAAAATAGCCACACATCGATAACTTTCGGACAAGGAAACTGGTTAATCTACATGTAGATTATACAACATGTAATGTTTACGAATACTTTTAATCACATTTCTTTCAATGGAAATGATGTTCCTGGGGTTAAACTTGCGTAAAGCATGATTGAGATGGTTTAAAACCATCAGGAAAAAAAGATGATATGGTGAAAAAGAAATAACTTTCGGGGCAATACTTTCCCTGCATGTCAATTTGAGAAAAATGCCGGCGCTTGGCAATTTGTTTTTGTTTCACTGTTTATCAAAATTAGAAATGGTGATATGATATGGTATGATTTTAAGAAATTGGGACTAAAAATGAAAAAGTATCTTTCTGTCCCAGATATACCGTACAAAATTTTGTTTATATGTAAAATACGCAGATTGGAGAAGTCATGAATCTATCCACCAAAGTGCTACGAGTATTATATTAATGACTATAATATCTTAAATTAATTCTTTAATAATTTTAGAATACGCAAAACTCTGCATTTTTTCTATTTTACCTAATAAAAAATGCCAATTCTAGTAGTTACTTTATCAGAAATAATGTATACGTACACGCATGCTTGCATGTATATTTAAACTGAATTGACAATTGAGGTCCGTGATTTAACATACACTGTTTACGTATAGACAATAAAATACATTTGTTTTTTATTTTATGTCTCACACAAAATATTTGTTGTTAAAATCATCGCCAATTTAGAATTACTGGTGCATTTTGTAAACTTCGCCTCATCAATCAAAAGAGTCAAACTTTTTTTCTGCCTGAATGACAAATGACAAATATAGAGGCCAGAACAGAGTGTGACATATGTTTAAATTTAACTTTTCAAAAGTACAGTGTGTAATATAGTTGTCCCTTTTCTTTTCACACTAAATTCCATTTCCAACTTGTTTGCATTCTACAATTTCTTAAAATATTGCATGTAAACAAAGTAAATATACGCTGATTAACATCATGTATAGTGTGAACTCCCTAATCCCTTGTCCGAAAGTCAGTACAGGTGATGTAGTGGTGATAAGGTAAAATCTATTTTTAGAACAGTGTTACCTTCAGATCGAAGGATCGACGATTATAAGTCAAAACTTAACTGGAAATAGTCAGTAAATCATGGTTAATCTTTCAATATATAATATTGTTTATTCTAAAACCATATACCTGTACATTTGTATTTTTCTTTATCATTTTTGAAATTATCAATCAATTGAATAATTCATAAAATCTGATTTGTAACTTTGAATAATTCCTCGGAATCTTTACTAAACACGAATAACAAATTAAATAAAATGTTTTAAAGTTGATAGTGTCATATTAATGCCATAAAAATGTACATTTTTCTCAATTATTGTACATATTTATTGTTTTCATCTCATATAGATAAAATATAACATGCGATTTGTGTTGTTGGTTTTTTTTTTCGAATTGTATGTTTATGTATAATAATAATCAATCAATTCGAGAGTTGATCTGTGTTTATTAATTATTGTAACCAAACTAAGTGACAAACATTCATTTTGAAAAAAAGCTTATTTATCTGTAAAATATTTGTTCTGTTCTGTAACGATATCAAACATCTACTCTAAAACCGGGAGAGACCGGACAATAAACGTGTGGTACTATTCGCCGGTCATTAGTAAATCCCGGGAGAGACCGGGAATTACCGATAGGAGTACATCCCTCTATAAATAGATTTTCGGAATATTTAGGTCATCAACTCATTATTCTATTAACAGCTTTCGGAATAACATACCATAATAACCCACTGTGTACTACAAAATGATAAGCAAAAATACCCCGAAGAGCGCGATTTATTGACGGAAAAGGTTATTTCATTTGAAAATGTTTGCATTGCGAAATTCTCCAGTTCGCCATTCATTGTACATATCGCGACTAATTAATAATCAAGCACCCTCATACCGATCGGAATGATCGGCTTTTATTATTGGCAACTATAAAAGGCTCGAGAAGTTGCTGTCGCCCTTTCACAAAATCTCATTTCATTCCAATAGGCGCCGCGCTTCGGCGCGGACGCCAATAACTTAAGCACATTATACAAGATATATAAAAACTTAGTATAAATTCCATTCATATTCACTTAATTACATCACTTCATGCAGTGTTTTCTCTAGAGAGCGTTTTCTGCTTTTTTGACACAGTACTTTTGCATTTGATGCCGTGTGTTTTCCGTGACGCATATTTTTGCTACCGTCGTAGTATATATTTGTTTTCTATAAATAGCATGAATTTCATCAGCTGATCGGTCACATGATTTATCTTAGACGCTTTAGTGATTATTACATGTTAAAAGCGCTCAGGCGCTTCAGATTGTGACGTCATTATCCGGGTAAATTCACAAATGTCTGCTTCGAAAAAAAGCAGCCAAGATTGACTTCATTCTTCAATAAAGACAATGTTGTATTTCCTTAAATCATAGCCTAAAGAAGGGAAAACAGGCCGGGAGCTTACCAAAGCTTGTTCTTGATGTTCGCACTTCGCCAGCCAACGCAGAACTCAATTCACTCAATCCTAGAACTATCCGGGTACTTTTTCAGTCCCGCGAAAACCGTCGCGCATGCGCATGCAGTCCGGTAGGTCTAGGACCACTAAATCATTTCCTGCATTCACAACACTCCCCCCCCCCCAACTTTATGAATGAAGGCTTCGGTCTTGGGAGTAATGCTGTGAATGCATCAGTAAAGAACTAGAAGCTCGTTTACTTCCTTAATTGTGAATTAATATCACATCGCGGCTTTAACTTACCCTAAATAAGTAGGCTGTAGAGGAAGGACTAGAAGTCCTTTTGGTACACTGGCGTTTGCTGTAAAGATTCTCAAAGGCTAAAAGCCACCTGGAACTTCATTTTTTCACAACCACCAGCCTGGATGTTATCGGAGAAGATCTCCTTGATACTCGGATCAAAGAACACTGGAGTCTTGATCTGTATTGAGGTTATTTCTGTTGTGGTATATACCTGGAGCAATCTGGATCATTTCTCAGATGAACTAGAAGTTTCAAACTGAATATAATAATGACGCTTTTACTGAAAAACTTGGAATCCAACCAGCACCTTACTTGGATGAATTATCAACTTTAGACTGTGAACTAGAAGTTCCACCAGTTTCCTGCTGGTTTTTACTGATACTGCCCTTCATAGAGACACAGGGCGTTTGCGACTGTGATCTCCAGAATCCTTTCAGGCGATGATTTTTGAAGACGGTGAGCCACTGCATTCGCTGCTCTATACAGTTGTCCAGGCGACGATACTCTGGATCCCCTACCGGGAAAATATGGTGCATCGGACTCAAGAAGCAGACGAGACTCTTTAAATTTCTCGGAGCGCTGCTATCTGGTCACGATTAAAGGAATCCACCAGACTAGTGAAGCCAAAGTACGTCCTTGGAAATGTCTCCAACCATTTCTTAAGCACAGACTGGTCACCTGTGAAACAATGTAGATGTATAGGGTGACGTGATCTAACGTACTTCTTTAGAACATGTAGAAGAAGTAAATATGCTTCTGTACCACAGTCACCCTCTATTCCACGACAATGAATAACCAGTACATGTCGTTCTTCCAACTTGGGCAGTATCGCTTCAATCAATTCCACCTGATAGTGCCAATACTTCATTGGCTCTGTATGATCCAGTCCAATTTCCCCCAAGAACTGTCACTTTTGGGAGCTGTAGGAGGTTGAACAGACGTTCAAGGCCCTCTTGTCTTTCCCGATGTCCTTGCTTAGCATGTCTTGGATGGAAACCGACAGCAACTTTCATATCCCCTGGCAGGCCTAGAAGGCTCCGCTCAGAAGGATACGTTCTTGGATCACAGAAGACGGCAACTTCTCCCTACCAACTTGATCCTTTTGTCATGATCAACAGGAACCTTTGCTAGAATATCTTCTAATGTACCTGATGAAGGAAGACTCAGTTCTCGCAAAGTCCTGTCCAGGTGGAAATGACTGTCATAGGCTTCTGGTAATATTTCAGCGGGTTCCTCTTCAGGCTCATCAAATCACCATGCCCGTCTGGAATAGGAAAGCTAGACTTCCAGTACTCCCTTTCTTCAGCATCTAAACCTGCTGCGATTAACTGAAGTACCTTCCAATGGATTAGAGCACCTGGTGAATTGATGGGCTCCAAAAATAAATTCCTTCGGAACTTCGGATTTAAGAAACCCACAGAAAGCCTGCATAGCTTCCGTCTGAGTTGATGACACCATTGTATCCCCTGTTGATAGTAACAGTTTCTGAATCCTAACAAATGACATCAACTCATCAAGGGATGCTGCTGGTTTTACCAAAAGCCACCTGGCTGCTTGGATCAGAGCGTTCCTTCTTCCCCGCAATACCCACTCATTGTCAGGTTTGTAGCCTTTCATCGAAAATCCCAGGGACATGATGCTTGAAGGCATGAACCTTCATATACTGGGCCGGTTCCAAACAGTTTTGCACCCAGCATTTAACGTTCATCCTTTTGTTAGACCGCCCTTTTCCTGTGAGATCTTTTCTCTTCTATCCCGCTTTCCTGACTTTGAGCAATGTATCTTCTGTCCTCTGCTTCTTCCAGCTTGAAGCAGGTGGAGGAGCCGCACGCCTTTCAGGATGAAATGGTTTGGGGTA